AAATATATATATACAAATGTATGTGATTAAATTAAATATTGTACAGTATTGACAATACTACTAGTAAAGTAAATAAACAGATGAGCTGAAATAAAAAGGAGGCGCGGGCTCACATCTCCAGCAGGAGGTGACAGCATCCACTTTAGCCATCAGCGAAGATCGTCTACTGCGACGCTGCGTCACTCTGCGCGGTTCACTCTGATCATTTCTCCCGCGACGCTTCTCTGTGAATACGCGGCGCCTGGAAACGCAGCGCAGTGAGACCTCTTCGTTTTTTTTCCATCCCACTCAGTTAATACCAATGGAGAGGGATGTAGAGAGATGATGGAGAACGAAGCCGCGGCGCTGACAGACGAGCCGAGTCAAACAGTGCCGGTAAATAAAGAAATACATTTTAAAAAAAGGGCTGGTCATGCTAGTTAGCAGTTAGCTACATTTAAATTAAGCAGCACGCTAGCGTTCGGGTGTTTTTAACGGACAGCTAGCGGCTACACTAGCTAGCTGTAATGTTAGCTAATCAGTTGGTAACAAGATAGCGGAATGGGATTTGGCTTGTAGCTAATCGTTAGCACGTAATTAATTAGCCGTAAATAGCTAGCTTTGCGTTGAACTCCACCGTTTTAACGAATGTATAGTGTGTTTTTTTTTGTGAACAACCTCTGTTTACATGGCTCCACATCCAGCTCTCCTCGTCTCGCTGTGACACCTGTCCGTCCAGGATGGAGAGAAAATGGCAGGACGGGTTAGCGGTAGTCTCACCGGCCGCAAGACCTGCGCTGTGTCAGCTGATAACGGTGGCATTTTCTGTTCATGTGGGGTTTTTGTGTCAGAGGATTAATGCTCTAATCCACGGTCCCGAAGTGGCTCCTGCAGCAGGCGACTTGAACCGCTCATTTAAAGTCGCACAAAGCTGCGGATAGTGTTTCCAGTATCGGTTTACTGACTGGGACCAGTACCGGGCCACTTTTTCCACTCCAGGGTCAGCAGCAGCAGGGCAGCCACAGAGCTGCTGGTGCCCGATTCAGTCAGATGATCTTTAGGGAACACAAAAAGAGGATATGTAACGTGATAACACATACGTTCAGATTGTTTTTATGATGTGCAATGCAGCACATTAGAGTTCCTCATTTAGTCACACAGAAAGTCTGCAGAAAGTTCAACCAGCAGTGCCATGCACACAAGCCAGGAAGTTATTTATCATCCTGGAACCATCTTCTACTGTCATGCAGTTCTTATTTTGGAGTCTGAAAGACACTAAACTCTGCTGCATGGGCTTTCACATTTTCAATTAGCTCAAATTTCCAATTCTAAAAGGTCATTTCAAGGCTGAGACGAATCATTTCCGTGAAAACGCTCCCCCAGATGAACTATTTTGACCATCAGTCTTCGCCCTGTTTGTAGTAAAAGACAGATGGTCCGTGTCGGAGGACAATCAGGGTGCGTGCAGGTTGTTAAGGAGAACAGTTTGGCACCGGTGCCTTGACAATGATCAATAAAGCCTCTAAATCCCTAAAGCCAAAACAAACAGACAAGCAGTTCTAAATAGGGATGAATTATTTGCCAAAAAGCATCATATTGCGGTTTATTTAACACATATTGTGATATAAGTTGCAATTTCTCTTTTGCTGGAAAAAACTAAAGTCTGATAATTATATGATTTTAACTGAGGTCTGCACCAAACAAGCACTTATGTCTGGAGAATGCTGTGGAGCTGAGGGACGCCTGCAGCTCCGCGGTGCTTCATTTTTAATGATTTGTTGTGACACACTTTACTGTTATATAAAAAAATATGGAGCTCCTGGGATCTGGATATTGCATTTGGCAGTACTGTGCTTTTGATAATATTTTGATTAGTGTTGATTCGAAGTACTAAAAAAATGAATAATTTGACCAGCAATGACGTTGTTGTTCTCTGTTTTAGCAAATTAATGTTGTCAGGATGCCATATGATGTTAGTTGAGGCGGTATTGAAGGTATTAACTTACATTCTACATGTCTGTATATGTGAAATTGATGCCATTCTACTCATAGATGAACTTTCCTGGCCAAAACACAAGGCCTCACCATATATAACACCACCTGCTCCAGTTTTCATTGTCTACAAAGATGCTAAACTCATCCAGACATTATTCTTCTGACTCATTCACTGTTCTAGAAAAATCAACCCTGTGCTGAGGAGAAATCTGTTGTTTATGATCCTTGTCTTCCGTTTCTTTCCACTTTCCTCTTCCAGGTCCATGAGGCCTTCGGGTCCAGCTAAGGAGAACCCATGGAGCCTGACGTCATCCCACTGCACTCCTCCTCCCCTCCTCCGCTGGATGACGACGGTGACGGGGAGTTGGGATCCGAGGAGGACGAGTTCGGAGACTTTTCTGTCGGGGTGTCCTGCTCCCCTCTTGGCTTTGCTGATAGCGCTGAGCTGCCCTCTCTCACCTTAAAACCAGCCACCCATCGACCCAGCTGCAGCTTTAATCACCCAGTAGAACAATCTCAGCCCACATCCACTGTGAATTTGGAGTCGGACGGGGGTCAGACGGACATGGAGGGGCAGGACTGTGATGCTAAATCTTCGTTGCACCTCACAAATGGATTTGCTGAAAGACACCATAACTCTGGGGCTCATAGTGCTCCCACAGCGGGTGCTTGCTCTCCTGAGGAGGAAACAGGGTTTGCTGACTTCACTGTGTTCACCGAGCAGGCAGCACATCCCTGGTGCTGTGGCTTCTCTCCCATGAGCAGCACAGAGCAGTGGGATGGCAGAGTGGGGGGGACAAACCACAGCTTGGGTGAACAAATCTGTCATTCAGGACAGGATGTTATTATGGAATCTGAGCCCAGATCTCATTGTGCGTATAAGGCAGATAAAAATGTCTGCACTGAGGTCAAGCACTGTGAGAACAGAGATCCAGCATGTGCGCAACCATCTCAGGACCACCATCAGCCTCAGGAAGCCGCAGCAGCTTTGAATTTTCCATCTGGTGAGGAGGAGCGAGGCAAGCCTGGGGACAGTCGGAGAGAACGGAGGCCTAGTTTTGATTCTCTACGAATCTCTGACGAGCAGGAAGATGAAGGAGAAGAAAACAAAGAAAACAGTGTTTCCAGTCTCCCACAGACATTCAGTATGTATGCGTCTGCTTCAGAGGCATCCTTTGGTGACGATTTGTCGTTTGAGGGTGTTTCTGCAGACTTGGAACCAAATGTTTCATCCCTTGTGTCTCACGACGATCAGACTGACTGGGACGGGACCGATGATGAGGATGAAGGAGAACTGGGACTTCCTGACTCTTTTGTCAGCAGAACAGGAAGACTCAGCCAGTCCGAGTCAGAGACGGGTTTTCATCATTGCAAACAATATGCGACTCAGGAAACTTGTGCTACCTCCAACCAGTCACAGCCTGGAGCGAATACAGAAGGCAGATTTGCTGACAGTAGTGTTGAGCATCACAGGGACCAAGAACTCCAAACAGCTGACGTGGGAGTGCAGAGTCTGGGAAACCTACCACCGAGTGACAGCTTTGCTGATTTCTGCTCAGCGCCCACGCAGGGCGATGGACAGGGGTCGTGGGCAGAGTTCAAAGACCAGAGTGCACAAGGGGAAGAAAAACCTTGGACACAGTTCAGAGATCCAGTCAGCAGCCTGCAGATTGATGGGAACACTGAGGAGGAGCAGGACAGGGCGGGACAGCAGGGTGGCAGCAGGAGGAACAGCTGCCAGGTAGGAAACCGGTCACTGGAAACTAAAATAATGAAAAACTGAATTAATTCTTTTGAATCTTCTAACATAAAATGATTGATCGTCCTTTATGGATTACATTTTATTGCTGTACATTTCATTAAAAAAAAACCCTTTTACTTTCTTTACTGGCATTTAAAAAGCTAGAATTCAGTCAACGGGTAACTACATATGTCTGAAACTCTAGTTCAAAGATTTAAAGATCTTTCTCTGTTTTCTGGCCAGGCTTCACTGTCCTGCCGTGTCCAGCAGCTTCTGCAGGCCAGTTTCCCCGAAGTAGTGGTCCCAGTGGTGGAAGGTGAGGAGGAGCTGCTCGGCCTCAGTGCTTTGCTTCAAACCCGACATCTCCCTGAGAGAGAGGAGGCAGCACCAGAACTCAGCGGTGCTCTGTGGTGAGTTCATAGTCTTTGGCATGTTGCCTTAACTAGTTTTACTGTGTAGTTTAGTTTTGTACCGCAAATTGTAGCACATCAGGTTTGCACATGTAAAGAAAGTAAGCAAAGGAAAACAAGTGTCTGAATTATACTTTCTCTGAGCACAACATCATTCTGGTTTTTACTGTCTCACCAGGATCCAGCAGGAGATGCTATCGCCACACCGGGACGTCCACAGTGCAGTTGGCCTCCAGTTCCAGTGGGGTGGCTCCCACACAAACAGGACTCTGCTCAGGTGCCTCAGCGTGGACACGAGGAACATCGTGAGTGTGGCTTCAGTCACATCTTTATCAGTAACTGGGTTAACGAGGTCAGACTGAAACTGGGCTGAAGTCCTGGACTGGCAGAACACTGTTGATGTTGATTTCTTGGAACAATGACATCATTACACTGTTGCTCGAGGTAGAAATAATTGCTGAATCAGACTCCTGGCTGGGGCTGTAGTGAACCAAAGGAAATCTTGAATTCGTACGTACTCTTCTACCAACTCATTAGTCATGGCTAAAAAAAAACCTTTGCTCTAGATGAAGTAAACGGGCCACAGGGCACCGAGTGCACTCTACCTGCCAGACCTACGAGCCCATATGAATTATAAATATGCACGAAAAGCTATTATTTGCAGCATAATAAATCATCTGAACCTGGCTAGCTTAGACTGAAATGTTAATGGCAGACTTTAGGGAGACCAGCTGCCCATATTCATATGACTCAGAAATACTTATGTGAATAACTATTCAGTAATATAACGCGTATAATTAATGCACCATTCTTAGCTGATCTGTCACTTTGGTTGGGTTGCAGATGTGATACGTAAACTGCTGTTTGCAAAGTTTACACACGACTTGCTATAAGTAGAACTGTCAGTAAACATAAATGTTAAATAAGTTAAACAGTCACCATCAGGCTGGGTCACTTCAAAGGGGTGTTTACAGGCAGTCTGTTCCTCCTGCTGCCTGAAATAATGAATTAATCCTGCAAAGTTATTAATGTGGCACGTTTCTGCTCATGAAAAATAAAACCAGCGATGTTCCAACTTTTCCAGATTTGTTTGTAGATAGTATATCAAGCAACCAGGAGACTGCAGCCCTACGGGAGCAGCCATGTTTTACACTTCAGGACTTCATTCATGCTGCAAACAAAATGATTTAACTGTGTTTGTACTTTGTGTGTCTTTGTCTCCTGAAAGGTGTTCATTGGTACGAAGAAGCAGCCAGTGACTGTGCCTGCTTTTGCATCCGGTCTGGTGAGTCAGCTGTAGGAGATGCACACTAGATCAGTCACGGGACTAAGTTCTGTGAGGTTGTAGGATTGTGTGAATGCAGCTGTTTTGTCACGTCTACATGTTGCTCCGTCCACAATCTGGATTCAGTTGGTATCCAAATTGTTTGAAACCTTCCTTGAATATCTTATCTTATTTCCGCCTTTCATTAGGGAATGCTTGAGCCCACCAAAGACTCTGTGGCAGCTGTCGGGTCTCCAGGACACACAGCCGTCACAGCACAAGCACCTCCAGGGCGCCGGGAGATACCGGACCCCTCAACACATTCAGTGCAGGTAAATGAGCCTGCTTGATTCGACTAACGAAAAAGAGACTGCAGCAAAACGCATGAGAATAATTGTCAGTTTTCTGTCTCTGCAGGAGGAGCTCCCTTCCAGCCAGCTGGACTGGAGCAGCCGTGGCCTTAGCAGCTCTCAGGACGGTACGTCCCCTCGCCGAGCCCCTCACTTCTGGGGCCGGAAGTAGCCTGCCAGCCATCCCCTACGTGGCTTCTATTCACGAGCCAAAACCCTTGAGAGTTTACCCCTCACTTCCTCCAGGGCATGTGCTGCTTCTTTGACTTCACGCCGTGTTTCCCCTCCGCTCACTCAGCAGCAACGTGTGAACGCAACAAGCTAGAGCCAGAAATCATGTCGTTGACCCAGAACTGGGCCTCAAAGTAAGACACAACCAAACAGAAAGATCAGTCACGATTGTTTGAAAGCCGTGACGGGGGAAACACTGCGCTGCCCCTCCGCTCTCTCCTTCACCTGTTCTGGTGTGTCACCTTTACCTGCTGTCACCTGTCGGACAGAATTTATCTCAGTATTTATCAGTCCCGTATGGGCTCTGTGTTGAAGTTGGAACACCTGATGTGGGTGAAGGCTGGCTGCACAAACTGTTATTGTGCTGCTTGATGGCTCTGAAGTTTTTTGTTGGTTTTTCTTTCCAAGCTAAGGTCACGTTTGCAAAGCACGAAGCACTGACTGTGATCATCCCACTGCATATATATCAGTCAGCTAATTGGCTATGACATGTGCCAGGTGATGTAATGGACGTGTTTATCCAAAAGACCTTTTAATCTATTGATGACCACCGTGGAGGTAGAACTCTATCAGTGCACTTCTGTGTGACGTACTTTAAAGCTGGCAGCATCGCCCTGTTGTTGACTTTATTCGACACTAAAGTGTTTGTTTATTTTTGTTCTTCTTTATAGAAACCATTTATGTGTTTGTATTTGTGGGTAAAAGGTTTTCTGGTGCACTCAGTTGTAATTGACGGCTTTGGTGAAGACAGTAAGTGTTATTTGTTTGCTCAGGAAAGTTTAATTTGATTATATGTGTATTTATCCAAACACTGAAATTCCGACAATAATGATCGTTACAGTGATGAAATGATGCGACGTGTGTTCTTTGGTAAATTACTCATAATTCATAAAGATTATATCGTACTAGGACGGGACACAAGGATCCAAACCAAATCACAAAACAAAGGAAAGAACAGAAAAATCTCATTAGACACAAGTTAGCATGCTGCCAGCGCCCTTGTGTTATTTTTTTGTAGTAACATAGATAAACCTAATTTAAAAATAAATGCGACCGTGTTCGGAGTCGGTTTGAGAAACACTTTGCCACACAAGTCATTGTTCTGCTGCATGTGTTTACGAGGGTAAAGTCTGCTAAATAAGTATTTCTAATCAAGACTGTGTTCATTTTTCACATAATAAATACAGTGCGACAGTGCTAAAGATTGAAAAGACAAGTCTCTGGCCTGAAAAAATGAGTTGTCAGAGTTTAAAACTAACATTTTGGTTTGTAGCATGCAAGCTAACCTGT